GTCTATTTTTCTGTGATAAGTTAATACCTGGTTCACCTAGCAAAGAACTCAGTTGTCAGCAGGGCTGCCCTTTGCAATGTTAGTTTTCCCTCTTTTAAGTTATACGGTCAGTTACTACTTTTAGAACACTCAACAAAAAGATTTGAAACTAAATGGAAATACCTAAAGCAGAACTACTGAAAAGGAGTGTATTTATTTAATTTTTGTTATTTTTCACTGTTCCTCTGGAATTTAATGCCCTAGTTCAAGAGTGAATTACACATATACCTCAGTAGGAAATTAATAATTTTTTATTTTGTACTTATTTATAGATGTTGATGTTGATAGTTATAAGGTATGTCATAGGTAAAAACATCCTCTAGATCAGAACTGGGGTCCATACATTATGGCTCAAAGGTCAAAGACTAAATTCTGCCTGCACCTATTTTAGTAAATAAAGCTTTATTGGAATATAGCCCATTTACTTATATATTGTCCATAGTTGCTTTCCTCTAGAGTTGAATAGTTTTGACAGAGATTAGTAAGGCCTACAAAGTCTGAATTATTTATTATCTGGCCCTTTACAGAAAAAAATTAGTTGACTATTGGACTAGCATGAAGAATTGAAAATTTGTAATGAAATATATGTTTTTTATTTGATATTTTGTAGCATGTAATAATGGGGAAAAATAAAAGAATTCATTATTTCAGATGATTTTTATTTTCTTTCACAGTGAAGAAAATTTGTGTTGTTGAATTAAATTTTTTAAAAGCATTAACAATATCCTATAGTAGGAGCTTATGATTGGATGTAAACTTGTGTACACTTTGCTAAGTGGATAATTAGTAAGTTTTTTGTCTCTTTAAGGTAAAATATTTTCTAAAGCATGCTGTGAGGTTGGCATAAAGGGGAAACTGAGAATAGAGTTCTGGTGAGTCAGTGAAGAGGCTTCTAACTGTGCAGTTATTATATACCTGAAAACTACATGAATTGAGTTTAGTCTGCAAATCCTTACCGGCTTGTTCTTGGAAAAGTTTTCAAACCTCTAACTGTATTATAGCTGTGGATTCATTCTCTCTAGCATACTATTCCCCATGGCTGTCTCAAAGGTAGTCCTTGGGCCAACTTATATTTTTTTAATCTGTCACGTTTACTTTCCTAAAAAAAAGTAAAAGAAACTCGTTAGGAAATAAAAAGTGTATCTGTGTTGTTATTTTTAATTTTTTTTGTATCTTCATTTAGTTGTGAAATAGCTATGTGTGTACATTTGCGTGCACATTTACAATTAAAGAAAACTGATGAGATTGCAAGATAATGTACTACTTTTCAAAATACAGCTTTTCTATAAAATATCTAGCAGAGGGATAATAGGTAATGATGCAATGGTTAACATTACTATTTTCAAAAATTGAAAAGAAATCATCACTTGGAGGCAGTTTGGCATTTTCCTATAAGACATCCTATTTAGAGCTCTGCATCTCAGCTATGTAGGCTCTGTGAATTTGAATCCAACAGAGAAGATGTAGCTTTCATACAATTTTCTTCAGTTATAAGAACCATAATCGTTCCAATGGGATGCTATAAGCCTGGGTCACTTAAATCATTTCTGAAGACAGCAGGTGCTCTTCAGGGACATGCAAGATGGTGAAGGCACCTGTTGTTCCTTGCGTCTCAGTATCACCCACAGAGACTTAGTGCAGGTCAGTGTGTGCAGGAATCAGTTATGGAGAGGGGTGTGACAATATTGTAACTTAGTAAATGAGCTGAAACATAACAAAGAAAACTTTTTTTGAAAGGCTAAGCAGTTTAAGGTTACAAACTATTTAGATACTCTCTCAAAGATAGTCCTGAGAGAGTAGCTGAATGGGATATAAAAATGAAGGTAAAAGTATTTACAATGAAATCTAATTGTTTGTAAGAGTTACCACCTTTATTTTGAGTTAAACTAAACAAGGGGATTTTCAGATTCATTGCATTATGTTAACTTATATCACATCCTGGGAGGGAGTAACCTATTTTTTCATAGTATTTGTCTCAAGGTATGAGATTTCTACTGTTCTGAATTTAGATAATATGTAGAATAATTTTGAAGATATAGAGCAGAGGTCAAAATTTGTGACACTGGGACAAATATAGCCTTCTGGCATTTTATTGGATATAATTTTTTTAATAAATTGAAAAGTTTATTTAAAAATTCAGATGGCCAAATTACACGGAAAACCTGAGAGATTTGATATTAATTTTGTCTTTAATATTTTTTAAACATAAAGGTTTAAAGTACACTCTATTGGTAAAAAAAAAAAAAAAATTCAAATGGCACAGAGGGCCATAAAGAAATGTTCTTGATCCCTGTCTCATTTTTACATTTTTCAATATTTTCCATAAATTTTTTTGCTTATATGAACATATGAGTGAAATAGACCATGAGATCATGATAAACATTTTTCTATAAATGAATATTGTTAATTATTTTAACAACTAACTTCCATTTTATTAATTTTTATTACTTTTTTGTTTTATACTTTATTCCACTTTTGTTGTCATTGTTATAATATTTTTAAATCACATCCTTACCTTTGATAACAATTTCTTTTCTCTTCTACTTAATTTGTTTATTATATAAGCTTCAAATGCTGTCTCTAAGATACTTGACAGGAACTGTGGTCCTTACATTGGTAGAGGGTGGAAGGCTTCACAATGCAAGGAGGGCAGGCTGGGAGACTCTATAGCCACTTCTGTGAACACCATGCTACATTCTTCTTGGATGTTCTGTCATTCCTCTGTATGGCCAACCAAAAGTCTTATTCCAGTATTTTTCTGAAAACTCAACAGCTAATAGTCATTTCTGGAGAAGGAATGGTCTCTTTCTTGACAAAAGCCTGGAGATATTTAGCTAGATTGACATTGTTTGAACCCTTCTGACCACTTGAAATAGCCAAAATGGAGAGTCACGTCTAGATTTCAAATCTTCTGACCTCTAGTCTGATATTTTTCAAATTTTTTTTTTTCTGGTGTATTGAGTTCGAGATATTTGGGAGCACAGCAAGGAAAAAAACATGACCATGAGGTGGCAGTAGCACACAAGCATTACTTGGGTGGTGCTTTGGTGGGTTTGCACTTGAGGGAGGTCCCTCCCAGCAGGATACCTTCCAAAGGCAATGAGTGGGGGGCCACAATCCAGAAGGAGAGGGCAAAGGGAACTCTTGGGAAAGGGGAAGATCAGAGAGGAGGGCTTATCAGTCTAGATGATGTTGCTCAGCAACATGAAGGAGAGTCTCTGGGTCAGAAAACTCTGCAGGGCAGCAGCAGCTTGGGGTATTTTATAGCCAGGGTTTATCTTATCTATGATTAGCAGATGTTGGGTGCAGTTTTGTGGAATATGCAAATCAGGCAAGCTCTAAATGACTGAAATCTGCTTATTTGGACTTCATTTGAAACAACTGGATGTGTAAAAATTTGGGTTTGCCTCCAGTGGACTTTGGAGCTAATTGTTCCCCAGCCTGCAATGAAGTAAACACCATAGGACCAACTCGCAGAGACCATCTTTGACTTACTTATATAACTAGACTACATTGGTTTTGTTTGTGTATGTGTGTTTTGTCATTATACTCCAAATGTATACACCCATATGTACATGTACCACTATGCATAAAATATAGATACCAATATATAACATGTACATAGCATATAGATTTGATAATTTTGTCATAATTGCTTCAAGTTTTTTAAAGGAATAAATTACAAGAGTTGAATTCCACTGTACTTCTCCCGAAACCTATTCTCTTTCTTGTCTTCTTCAGAGGGGTCTCCCATGTATGTTTAGATTCATATAATAAATATGTATCAGGTAAAAATAATTTATATAATTGAGGATAATTTAAAACTTTATATAAATACTATACTGTACATAGCTTTCTACACTCTGTATATTATTTTTGAATTGATTAAAATGGATCAAATTGATACCTATAGATCAATTTTATTTGCTTCTACTGCTAAATAGTATTTGGTTGTGTGAATATAACATGATTTTTAAACATTTCATATTGATGACCATTTAAATTGTTTCCAGCTTTTTATTTTTGTAAATCATGCTGTAGAGAACATTCCTGGACATGTCTTCTTATGTAAATGCTGCCACTTGTATATTTCATTTAGATATTCTGGAAATAAATCAGCAAATCATTCCCAAATACCTTATGTGCAAAGGTCTGGGATTATATTGAAATTGTACAAAATTCCTATCATTAAATAAATTTAAAATCTTAGTTTATAAATTTTGTGTATACTTACAAATAGGAGTTCATCTAATGTTTGAGAATATTAATCTCACCTGTCATTTTATTAAGTTTAAGTGTATTTCTAAGACAGATATAATGTCATTGCTTGATTATTTTCCCCAATATTTAGTTTTGGTAAGACCCTAAGGTGCACAAGCAGATGTTGATGTCTGAATCACATTTTTGTCTTTAGGAGAACCTTGTATTAAAAAGCCTTCCTGAATTTCTAGCACTGCCACTTGCTCAGTTAATGATTTATTGAATATATCAGAGCAATTAGAAAAATGAGATTTTTAAAAAATGTTTTCCACTACAGCTCAAGTAATTTAAATTACTCTCCTAAGAGATATATATTGAGAGAAGTCATAAGTGGCAGGCACATGACATAGTAAAGATAATGATCAGTGTAAGCTGATAACTTCTAATGAGAAATATATACAGAGCTTTGGAATTGCATTCCAAATAACTTTTCCCCCAGCATTTATTGTATGCAACAAACATGTGAAAGTGGTGTGCTAAAACAGGTAGTCTGAAAATATTTTAGCAGTTTTATCTAAACAAATGTCAGATTTTTTTTAAATGAAAAATGCTAAGTATAATAAAAGTGTATATTTATGCTCTCGGCAGCCAAATGTGCTTTTTAATGGAATTTAAATAAATGGAATTTTTATGACAAAAAAAGCAACAGTAAAAGCAGTGATTATGTTTTTCATAGTTCATTTGCCTTCTTTGCCCTGCAGACCTTGTGTGGAGGAAAATGAGATCCTGAGTGCAGTCTACAATGTCATTGACTCTGAAGAAGGACTCAGAGACCCATTGGTGTTTAATGACCCTTACTGGCCTATGCAATAGGAACTGGTATGATCTTCAGAAATAGATGGTTCTTTGGCAATGTTAAGAAATATTATTTTTGTCATGTTTTAATGCAGTAGACACTTTTATGCACTGCCTGCTTTTATCTATTGGTTTTGCAGAGAGAGACTTAGCAAACTTTTGATGAAATATTACTGCAAGCTTATTAATGAGCACTAATCCTTTTAATTTGATTACATCCTTAGGGTTTGATTTAGTCTATAAAAGACACTAGTAAAAAACCCAAGACATTTAAATTTGGTGTGTGTAAACAGACTCATTATATAGAAATGTTGTTGCCATTCAGGCTTGAAGTTTTTGTTCTTGTATAACTCAGAATATATTCTATATTCCATCAATAATGAGAGAACTCCTCTTTGTCTTTATGGATTAAGTGAATATCCATCAGCATATTGCACAACAATTTTTTTTTCATAATGCTGATCGTGTTGGACATGTTAGGACTACATTGCCCTGTCTTTTATACAAAATTGTGATAATGAAAAGGACTGAGAAAAGTACATATAATTTTTCAGTGTAAATAAGTAAAAAAAAAAAAAGCTGACATACATACCACTGACAATTTTAAAAGGGAATAATTGAAATGTGAAGATTACTTGGTGATAATATTGGAGAGAAATTGAAGACTTTATTATAGCCGTACTTTGCTTTCCATAGGTCTGTAAATTATATTATGTTATAGAGGGTTCAATGTTGTAAAGTGAGAAAAATATTAAGTGCTTTTCATTATTTTAATGGACATAATGAGGTGAAAAGTGGGAAACTGTTGTAGGAGCTCTTTTTTATGTTGATCATTGATAGTTACCAAGCCTACTATCTGACATGAACTGAAAACCCATATTGGAAAAAGTCCAGTTCAATTTTCTGTAGCTTCAACTCGTCTTTAAAAAATGAAACATGATTTAAACTCTAAGAGATGTATGTGACTAAATTTGACATTTCAAACAAACAAACAAAAAACTCAAGCAGAAAAAAATTGAGTATTGCTTTAATTACCTACAGGTAAGATAACCAATAACAAGAGAATGGACTTGAGTTAATTAGGATTAGGAAAGTCAAAGAGGAAAAGAGTGAATTAAGAAAAAGGAGTGAGAGAAGATAACTATATAATGAAGGAGGGCATGAAATAAGGGGGAAATATACTTTCTTATGTTTGTTGGTTTTTTGACCTGAAGAAGCAGCCAAAATTAAAATGAATACTTGAAGATTATGTACATAACCTATCGTAATTAGTCACCTCACAAGGAATACATTCTTTTATTAAAAATGAACTGTCAAGCCCCTATATTGAGGTCAAGAATTTCAGGAGACACAATGGAAAAGGAGATGGAAGGCAAGTGATACAGGAAAGATGAGAAGAATTGAGTAGCAGGTTGTCAATAAAAGGACAGGGATTAGAAATGGAGAGAAGTCTTAGAGACTATGAAGCAATAGATTCTCTTAAAAGTGGAGAACAGAGAAGAGATTTTGAAAGGCAGGAACAGAAAGAAGTGATAGGATGACTCTGTATCATTTTATAGGGCAGAGTTGATAAACTCTTTCTGTAAAAGACAGATAGTAAATATTTCACGCTTCGTGGGCTACCTAATTGTCAGTGGCATATTCTTTTTGTTTGTTTCTTTTGTTTTAGTCCTTTAAAAATGTAAAAAACATTATTAGCTTAGGGCCATACAAAACAGTTTTTTGGCTGGCTTTTACTTGCATGCCATAGTTTGTTGACAACAGTAGGGAATGGGGGAGCAAAGGGGAAAAGAGGAGTCAAAGAAAAAGCAACCATTCAGATCTAGCTGTCTTTTAGGCATTCAAGTGCCCTGCTGAGTAATACTCACATTACATTAGTACAAATCTATGTTCTATGAAATGTTGTTAACATGAAAAATCAGCTCCTATCTCTTTACCAGTAATTTTAAGGCAAAAAATATTCTGTAATAAGAAACTCCAGGTAGAGTGGCTTGAGCAGGATGAGGTTTTTATTTTTATTTTTTCACAGAAGTGGAAGAGTTGGTCCAGGGCCTACTATCAGGACCAGTCTCTTTCCATCTACCACCTTCCACATGGCTTACCACCTCTTCTGCATACCACCTGGTGGGAGGGGGGAAAGAGAAGGAGGTGTATATCATGCTCATTCCCTTTAAGACACAGCCAGAAAGTTGCACATATGTGCCCAGTTCAAATTTGGAGGTTCTCTTTCTAGAAGAAGAGGGAAAAATAGATATGAGGAGACAACAGTCTCTTCCAAGTACTAATTAAAAGAGCAAAATATTTTAAGCAAAACATAAATAAATTCTCTGCATTTTCTAATTAGGTTTGAGATATAGCATCAACAAAAGAGAAATACCAGTATAAAAGATAGGGAATTATGAACCTGTAGAATACTTTTTGAGATTTCAGAGTATTTTTTATGAGCATAATTCAAACAACTGTTCACTGGAGTTGAAACTCACCTTATTTGCCAAAATTTGCCACAGCAAATGCCAGAGATTCAATGTCCTTAAGTTTGAACAGACTATTGCTTATATGGGCTAATTTCGCCATTTCAATAAAATATCAGAAACTAATGACTCCAAAGCTATAAAAATAATTTTTATATCTGATTTCATCACTATTACTTTTAATGAAAAATTATTTTGTTATCATAAACCTACCTGCAGATAGTCATCATATTCTTTTGTTAGACACCTGCAGAATTCTGATACTGTAAGGCAATATTTATTTTTTTTGTCCTAGTCTATTTTTAAGAATATATTGCTTGAGAAAGTTTTACCAGACTTTTAAATATCATTGTAGTTCTAAAGATTCACAAATATTATATATTTAGTACCACTTCTGCCTAAAATGTGCTAAAGAGTAGATCTTTGGCACAACGTTGAGGAAAATTATGACTTAATGTTACATTTTCTGAAATAATATGTTCTAATGAAAAAGATTTTTAGGACTTTGTACTTGATTTTTGTGAACATGGCAAAGTGCTCCATCATGATATCTGGAGTAAGTGGCCTAGGAGAGAAAGTAAAAGCTAAAAAGGAGATAAATATTTTTATTAGATTAGGTAGGCAAAAATAACAGAACCCATTTTAACAGATGCTCAAAGCAAAAACGTTGATAAGAAAAGTTGTAACAATACAGTTTTCAAGAAGATAATCTAATTTTTGCTTTAAATTTTGATTCAGAAATTAATTTTGGCAAAAAGAAGTGTCGAATCTACACGTACTTTGTTTTACCTATAAGATAATGGGACAGAGTTGACAACATAAACTTTTATCAGTAGAAACGTCCCAAGATACTCTCCTCCTTTTGGAGATGAGTATCTGTGAGCCAGGGTTCCTGTCTTTACCTCAGCCTCACAGCCTGCTCTTACAACAGCAGCCAGAGGGCCAGATGAGGAAAATGCTGAGAGAAGTTAAGCATCTGAGCTTAAAAAGAAAAGAAAATGTTTGATTTTTTTTTTTAAATAGGCTTTGGTTTTTGGAGCAGTTTTAGGTTCATAGCTAAACTGAGTGGAAGGTGCAGAGATTTCCCATATACCCCCTCCCCAAACACACGCATAGCTTCCCCATGATCAACATCTTCCACCAGAATGGTACTTTTGTTACAACTGATGAACTTATATTGATGTTGGATCATGTTAACAAGGCTTTTCAGATTAAAAATGTTAAATTTACAAAAAGTTGCTCTTACGTAATATATTAGAAAAAATACAGGCTTTAGGGCTACACAAATGTGAATTCAAATCCTGGGTCTGTAATTCTAGACTATGTTGCCATTAACATTTTAGTCTTTATGAAAATTTGTTCAGAAAATATTATATTTTGGAAAATCTGTGAAGAAGATATGATGATAGCTACTTCACAGGATGGTTCTTAGAATTAAATGAGATTATAGAGACAAAGCATCTGTCACAGTGTTTGGCATGTGGTGAGCATTCAGTGAATAACTTGATAGGGAGCCAGCTTTCATTCCTACCTATAGTGGGTTACACTTCCATTACATGGGAAATAAACTATGTTGAATGTTCATTTCTCAATCATGCTACATGACTACAGCAGTACTCGAAAAGATTAATAATTCTTTTGTTACAATATAGATGGGAATCATGTCTATGTAAGTGGTCTCTAAAGAAGGACTTACACCACAAAAAGTCTCACAGGAAGATCCATTAGTATGTAAGAAAAAAATGACAGAGACATTTATATTCATCCTTTCATCTTTTAAAATTAAAAGTTTTTTTAATTTATTATCATTTCAATAATATGTTAGTATTTAGTATGTGTTTTCATTTATAAATAAATGCACATATATCATGGTTGCATATGTAAAAACTTTATGAAGACTCATGAACAAAATGTTTGAATTTGCTGGTATACTCCATGAATACTCATAAAGTGGATGCCACAATGTTTTTATCAGGTGCCGGTATATGAACAGGACTAGGCATTAAATCTTTGAAAATGAATCAATTTGTATTTTTACTTTAAAAAGCTTGAAGTTTAAGAGAGATGATAGAATACACTAACAAAAAACTCTATTACTAGACATAAAGCCATTCCATTAAGAAGGCTCAATTAAATGAAGTTATTTTTAGCTTGTAGAAGATAATATTTGAATTGGGGCTAAATGTGGAAATACTATAAACAGAAGCATGAAAATGAGAAAATATTATTTTTGTCCAGTGGAAAGTGTCTTGAATGCTAGGCTGGGAAGTCCAAACTTCTATTTGAGTTATGCTTGAATACATTAATTTTTATTTTGTCCATTCATATGGTCATTCTCAATGCTAAGGTATGGAAAATACAAATATGAATTACATACTATTCTTGTTCTCAAAAGACTCAGAGTCTATCTAGTGAGATGAACAAGTAAATATACTCACTGTATTTTATAAATGTATAACAGAGTTATTTATAAAAGAAAAAAGTGATGCTTACACAGTGCAGGGAAAAGCTTAATCTACCTAGGTATGTTGGAAAGGCTTGCCTGAGTCAAGA